GCTGAACAATACTAGATTGAAAGTTTCCAAATTACCATATGAATCTGGCAGTGATGATGATTTTAGTGAAAATATTGAATTTCACTAAAATATTACTATTATCAGATTTATTTCCACAAATATTACTATTATAATGATGATAAATAACAATGATGATGGTTGGAAGTTGTTCCGATGATGGTTTACCAACTTGAATTTTTCCCAAGTGAAAATTAAATTCCAAATTTATAATCACAATCCAATAATAAAAACTACTACCAGTAATACTATTAGGATGATGTTGAGATGATGATGTGAAAGTTTGGTGGATTCATGGGGTGAAATCACTCTGAAAATCACCAAAGTGTTCCCAATGTGTGTTTGGGCTGAAATATTTTTTCTTAATGGTGGAAAATAATGGAACGTGTATTTGTTAGGTGTTATTAATACATACAAGGCAACACCAAGAACTTTTGTCCATCAAATAAGCACCCTACTATTTTCGCCTAGACATTTTAGGCTATTTTTTTTGGCCTAAATATTTTTTGCCTGTTTTTCAGGCGAAAAAAGTAGCCTAGAACAGGACCACCTATTGAAACTTTACCAAAATGATATACATGATATATAATGATATAGAATTCAATTTCATGTCCAAATAATCAGAAATGGTACCATGGGAAGGTAAATGTTGATATATTATGGATGACTTTAAGGATTGATAGGTCAGATCATATCTATCAAATACTTCACTTTAACCAATAAAATAAACATGAAAATGTTCCATTTGATGAGTAGAGATAGAATATCAAGTTTATTTTAACTTTTATATTCACGATTTCAACTCTAACATGCCATCTGATAAACTATGGACACGGATGAATTTCTGGAAAATGACCACTTTATGAAACATTACCATCATGTTCCACATCTCAAATAATGTATATAATTCAGTTTTTAGACGTTTTGGTGAACATTCCATCTTTCAGTAAGGTAAAGAGTGATTTATCAAGGTTGACTTTGGAGGATCAGGAGGAAATCTTGAATATAGAGAACCAAATCCTCAATCAACAAAATACATATCAATCGATTGGAAATCATTAGTACATCTCGAAAATATAATTTATTTTA